ATCGATTGGTATAGATTGTCGATTCATATGTCGAGCTGGTACAAAATCCTGTGTCGGGTAAATAGAATAGATTACATTACACTTTTTGAAAAGGTAAGCATCATTAATTTCCAGACTGCTAAATGCGATAAATGTCAATTCATCTTCGGCAGCGAATTTCAAATGCCGATCCACTTGCGCACAGCTTAATTTATTCAACCAGTCTTGAATCGGTTTAATAATAAAAGTATTGTCAACGTCAATGTTTCTTGCATTCGTATCGGGATAGAAAGAGACAGGTAATGGATTGGAATGTATATGCATATTCAAGCCATATCGAAAATAACCGATTAGATGATTCGAATCTCGAAGAGGCACAATCGAATATAGTACGATAGCAGTGTTTATATCAAGAATTTCTTGAGTTTTTTTTCCATCATAAGAGTTTGCTGCCTTGTAGAATTCCATCATCTCAACGTTTTTAACTTTTTCTACCTTGAGCGATTGTAGACGTTCGCGAACGATCTGGGGCAGATTTGCTTCAGATATCTTCTTGTTAATGTCATGTATAAAATTAGAATGATAAATACGAGGCGCTATGGACTCAAGAATAGGTACTGTTTTTCGATCAACTAAAACCTTTTCATACCATTTTGTGGAAGTCACAATTTGTGCTTTAACTTTCTTTCCTCTCTCATCAAATTCGTACAGGACATATGCACAATTCACGCCAATTGTAGAGGTGAGTGGATAAGACAGGTCCTGCAGGTATCGTTGATGAGTTCGATTGCTTGTCCATACTATTTGCAAGCGCTCAGCAGCAAACGTGTAAGCATATGATAATAAAAGTTGCATTATTTCATCATCAAGGTACAACTTTCGTTCGTTCGCTTTTGTCCATATATGAATACAATTTCGCTCAAAGCTCACAGACAGAGTGTTGTATCGTTCGTGCCGTGACATTATAAACGCTGAATACGACGATCCACTCAGGCTCCCAATGCTTTTGGTGAAGTTATGCACGGTGTCGACTAGCTCGAGAAATGCATTTACACCGCGTATGCAGTATGCGCCGTCATCCAAGCAACTAATAGTGCGATAAGCATCGCCCAGCAATTCATAGTAAGCTGATTTTAGCAAAATGTCCACGTGTGATGGATAACTGCTCATGAAAAATTTTGCATACGCGATACATTTTAGTAACGACGGATGGTTCTCTTTTATAGCAAACTCCGCTTGAAGGAGCCAATAATGGACTTTTTCTGAAGCATAAGTCAAACGTTTTGCAGCTGAGTCCATATGGGAAAGAAAAATGTTGCGTTTACTATTATCACCATGTCCAACAGTTTCTAAACAACCAGTAACGAAAGTACATGTACTGCATTTATTAATTATTGAGACTACTCTACTTGCAGGGCAGAAAAAGAGGGCGAAATGTTAGTACTCCTAGGTTCTGTTTTCATGTTTTATTTGGTCGAAAGATATTCTGCGGTTTATCGGACGGTGATCAATCATACCTCGAAACAACTACTCAAGTAAAAGACGAACGGTGGGAAACGTCTAGATATGAATGATTTCCGACGAATTTCGGAAGCAGAATTTCTTGCCGATTTTCGGCAGAGTTCCGGCCGATTGCTGCACTCGGAAACGATGTTGGCATACTGTTCCCGTCTCTGACACGGTTCCAGAATACAGAGTCAATGATTTAGCAGAACAACAGGACATGGGTCATTTTTGGCTGGGCTACGAAGCCCGAATCCGGCCGTATTCTATCCAGTTTCAGAGACCTGATCGTATAGTCCAATGGGATGACAGAGTATGGATGGGTGGGTGGGTCTGTGGGTGTGAATCTTCTGTTCTCCCGCGTCGACATCCACCCACACCCCACACCCTATAAAAATTTTAGTCGAATCGATGAGATTGATTGAGCACAGTTCCGCTGAAACTGATCATGGCTTATGTGCAACGCCTTCAAGAGATCTTTAGTAGTTTCAAAGGTTTTCTGTAAAACACTTTCACCGAAGCTTGCACAGAGTTTGCAAGGGAAAACTTGCACCCTAATTCCGATGAGTTTCAAGTATGATACTCGCATAATGTCTCGCCTTCTACATTACAGAAGGGACGTTGTAGACGCAAAAGGTTGTCTGTACAATAAGACTAGCAGAAAATAAACTCGTCCTGTCTGCTAAATAGTCTCCATATCTGGCGCAGTCAGTCATACCCTTGGAGCTTTGCTTTCTTCTCTCAATTGTTATTATACTTTCGTAATCCACTTTTCTTTCAGATTTCAAGTTTTTTCGTTCTTCATCGGTTTCTTTATTTTTTAATGCTCACATTCTTATGCTGTCGCAGACAATTGGAATCCTTGATTATATGATTAAGATATCTCCGTTACCGCAATGACCTTATGGTTGTTTCGCATCGATCCTTGCTCTTTTTTCCAGTAATATTCCTGATTTTCAGTATTTTTTTGTCGTGCTTGATATGACATAGTGGTATGTTGTTAAGCGTCTTGACAATGCCTGTCAGAGTACTTTCGTTAGCATGTGAGCAGTTTTCAATATCAGATTCTTTCTTCTATTGTAGGTAGTAGAAGGTTTGGATGTTCTAGAAAGGTCTTTCTATGGCTCTGTGATCTTTCCTCTTTCCTTCCGAGCGAGCTGTCTGTGAGAGAGTGGTTGAGTACAACTATCTCACTATATACTTCGCCACTCATTTTAAAAATTGTGTTTTACAAAATAAAATGATTGTAGGTGGGCATTATTAGGATTTTTATAGCATAGCTGCAATGAAAACTGATTTTTCTCACCTGCTATTGTACGATCATCTGATATCATGTGCAGATATTGTTCAGCCACTAGCAGTCGTATGTAAAGTGAGATAGATGCGGGTAATTCGTTTTCCTTCAACAAAAACGTGCTCAGTGTAGCCACGATCTCGTTAGAAATTTGAGCATTTTCTCTGATGAGTGTCTCATCTGGATCAAGTTTTGCACGGATGCGATTTAGAAGACAGCAAGTTTCTCTCCGTATGAGTTCTTTGCATAAAACCTTTTCTACATTGTAAAGCACTTGCAGAGCAAGGGGCAATTCTGAAGAAAAAAACTGATCATTGTTATTCAAAACATCCAGAGCCGCATCATAGTATTCATAAGCACGCAAAACGATAGCCTTCATGAGAATGTCTTGAGGATTATCGGTGTTGTATTTGGCGTTGTCGACAAATGTTGGATTGAGTGTGTCTTCAGATAGTAGCACTTGCAGCACAGCAAAGGATTCTTCGAGTCGTCCAGACTGAGTATGCTCGAGAACGAGGTTGAACGACTCACGGTCAAAATGAACATTTTCGTCGAAAACCTCTTCGTATAGCTCAGCCAATCCACGAGGTAAGTATCTGTAACGACGAGTACGTAAGCTCATATCATTTTCGATGATTTCATGCATCAAGTTTTTGAGCTCAAAGCCGTCGGAAGGAGGCTCTTCTGTGTCATGTAAGAGATAATTGACAAACACCTTGTCAATATTCATTCCGGAATGGTTTGCTTCGTGAGTAGAAACAGTTATTTTATGTGTACCTATGAACAAGAAAATCAGGAAAATTTGACTCTAGACAATACTTTTAAATCCTCTCCTAGGAAAGATAAAAAAGAAGCAGAGGCCAATATTATTTTTAGCTGCATGAAACAAGAAAGCAAAAATATTTTTCGAAGAACTGTCCAGAGTTGAACAACTTCAGCTCCAAATGGGTTGCAATCCTTAATTTTTCTATTTCTCTTTCCTAATCAAATCTTTAATTGAAGTATGTGACAGAAAACAAATACGTCACTGTACACGCAAAAAGAACCTTAGTGACGATAACAGGAGTGTCATGAAGCAGTAGAACAGATAACTATACTCTACTGAGGGGATCCATGCGATTTCTACCGCTTTTTGGGAAAAGCTTTTCTTCAATATTTTCCCACACTGAAAAAAAAATGGTACGATACAGAACCAAAAAAGGTACTTTGAACGAAAAAAAAGGTTTCGTACATAGTACGGAACCTAAAAAGGTTTCGAATTCGTTGCAATTCTCTGAACCATTTTAGGTTCGGTACAGACCGCTTCGAAAAACTTGAAAAAGTGTCCTGAGTCAATGACAATCAATTTTAGTCACCCAAAGTTTTGTACGAAATCTTTTGAAGGTTTCGTATTGTCTTCCTAAATGGTTCCGTAATCATACAAATTTTTTTGCAGCGTACCGAACCATTTAGGAAGACAATACGAAACCCTCAAAAGGTTTCGTACAAAACTTTGGGTGACTAAAATTGATTGTCATTGACTCAGGACACTTTTCAAGTTTTTCGAAGTGGTCTATACCGAACCTAAAATGGTTCAGAGAATTGCAACGAATTCGAAACCTTTTTTTCGTTCAAAGTACCTTTTTGGTTCGGTATCGTACCATTTTTTTTCAGGGCATGTATCAGCTAAAAAAATTTAAAAGAACTTCTTCTAAACAGTGGTAGAAATGTCATGAATCGAGCCTGCTATGAATCAATAATACCTATTTCTGTTCTACGTTAAGCAACAGTCATTAAGTATTTGATTGTTTTAACGAGCGACCGAAGTAAGCATCGTTGTCTGTACGGAATCAATTTTTCTTTGCCCAACTGAAAATACTACCAGGCAGTTTTGTTCTCTTTTGCTGCACTTGATCTAGTGTTATTCTTCAACGCCGCTCTTTGTTTGCAAAAGTTATGTGATGAAAACAGATGCTTTTTCTCTTTTCTTCCTTTTTTAATGGCACAACAGAAAGCTGTGCAAGTACAGAAGAAAGAAAAGACAAAAAGCATCTGGTTCATCACACAACTTTTCTTCCTTTCTTAATGACTGCTGTGTTCTGCAAGTATAGTTTTTCCAGCACACAGAGAGCATTACGTGGTGTATTGTAAGGAAAAAACAGTTTAGTAACTGAAAATAGCTCTTTCCATAAAAAACTGTAACATCATCAATGTAGATGTTTTTGTTTTACTTCTCTGCATTTTAATGAAATGTCCACATTCTAAAAGACACGGTCTGTCAACATATCAAGGGCGTGGTAAGGTTGGTGTGTGTGTGGGTGTGGGTGTGGGTGTGGGTGTGGGCGTCGGTGTGGGTGTGGGTGTGAGTGTGGGTGTGGTGTAGGTGTCTGGGTGTGGATGTGGGTGTGCGGTTGTGGGTGTGGACTTTGTGCCTTTTCATTACCACACCCACACCCACACCCACACCCACACACCCACACCCACATCCACACCCAGACACCCACACCACACTCACACCCACACCCACACCCACACCCAGACACCCACACCACACTCACACCCACACCCACACCCACACCCACACCC